CTCCCCGCTCTCATCGCCTGTTTGCTGCGTAAACGCTTATGGAGCACCTACTGTGTGCAACGCGGGGGAACGATCGGCGGGAAGGAGGGGGCAGGGAGAGCTGCGGCGCGGGGCTGGGGGCCTGGGACCCCTGGGTGGGGGTAGGGAAGCCTGGCCAGGCGCTTCCCTTTGCACCGCGGTGAAGATTCGGGAAGAGACGACCCTCCACGTCTGCGCAGCCGGGGCGTGGGGCGTGTTGGTCCTGCCTGGAGGTGAAGGGTCTCCGGGAGGCGGCAGCCTTGGGCTGAGCTGACGCCCACCGAGGGAGACTGAGTGGGGCTACTGTGGCCAGGCCCTTGGAAGGCCTGGGGGCCGCAGCCCGGCCACGTGGGGGGGCGCACCCGCCGCCCAGACAGAGGAACAACATTGGGGTGGGTGGCGGGGCCCTGGGGGCCCATAGCTCACCGCACAGTCTGCGCCCACCCCCGGCGTTTCCGATGGAAGACAGGCGGCAGTGATAAATCACCCGTTCCCGCCCCCAAGCAGCGGCTGATCCGTAGGGCAGGGGGGTTGCAGGAGACAGAGACAGGAGACAGACCCAGAGACTGAGAGACACGAGGAGAGACAAGGATCGCGCGGGGCGGCCAGCTGACACGGGCCAGGCCCTTCAGTTCCCGCTCCAGGCGCCCACTCCACCAGGCGCATCTGGAAACCAGCTGAGAGCCAGCCCCCCAACTGGCCAACTGACAGGGAAGAAGGGAAGGGAGGGGGCATGGCCTTTGCAGCCCCGAACTCCGGGCTCCCCTGAGAGGATCATAAATCAGCTGGGGCGCTCTCAGGAGGCGACCCCCAAGCCAGCGGAGGGTCTTTGGGGTCACTGGTCCCAGTGACTGGGCCTGGCCTTGGCTGTGTTCCTCCCTCTCTAAACAGCCCCCGCCTCTCTTTTGCCCCCGCACAGACACCCTTGCCCAGAGGCAGCGCCTCCGGTGCTGCCCTTGCTGGGAACCTGCAACCGCCACCCTCTCCCATCACAGGCAGGAAACGTCACCAGGAAACCCCTTGGGGACGGGGTCAGTGGATCCCCCCCCCATGAAGCTGCCCTGGGGCTCCAGTCCGCCTCAGGGGAGATGCTTTCTGTGCCTTCTTCCCTCCTGCCTTCTTGTCATCTTTTCCCCACCCCCTCACCGCCACCCCATGGTGCTGAGGGCCAGCTGGACAAAGGCTGCTGAGAGCCAGGCCAGGTGAGCGGGCCCCTGTGCAGATGTGAGCAGCCCTCGGAGGACCACTGCCTGTAGGCAAGGCTGAGCGAGCCCAGGAAAGTGCCCTAGCACCCCCGCTCCCCACTCTCCATGCCCCTCACCTTTTCTTCTAGGGATATGTCTTGCAGAAAACCACGCACAACTCATGTAGCAGACATAACGCCACTTGTACACAAGAAAGCGCATAAATGTCCTCCATTAAACCCCACGTGGCTTGTCTCAAAAGAAGTAGGGACAGGAACAGGGGCCTAACTCCTCACAACTTTCAGAGCTATCGGAACGCTATGTCTGAGGCAGGCACTGTGTGTCCCGTGGACTGGCTGGGCCTGGGTCTCATCACTTGGACAGTCCCCTTGAGTCTCAGAACAAACCGCCAGCAGTGTTAGCCTCTGAGCTGCCCTACGCCCTGGGACGTCCAGAGCACAGACACCAGTGTGTTTGGTGTTCGGGAAGCTGGGTATGGGGTACCCAGGGGCCAGAAAGAGCCTCCAGGGGACATCCAGGCTGGGGAAACCGCACCACTGCTGACCCCAAGTTTTCCTGTGAGGAGACGCATCTCAGGTGAGGGAAGAGGGCGTGCAAAGGCCTAGAAATGTGCACCTGGGCCCCAGGGCTCAGCCCACTAGGGGACCTGCCTGGATTCCAGGCTCCTCAGAGTAGGAGGGTCTAAGTTGGGGGTGGGGGGATAGGAAGGGTGTCCCTGTCCAATCACTCAGTGATTCTGTGTCATCTGGGGTCCCTCCGGAATGCAGCCCTGCCTAGAGGGCCTGCCTAATGGGGCTAGCTCCCTCCTCCATCCAGTGGGATTGCCCCCATGACGTCCCCCAGGCTAGGCTGGCATCCTCCCGGGGAGAGCTCCTGGCCTGACGGATCCACCAATGGCCAGTAACTAGCCGAGATCTACAGAGGAGGGGAGGGCACCTTCATCAATGGGTGCCAGCGGCCTTGACCTCCCATGCCTATGCGTCTCCTCACAGGAAGAGCACCAGCAACACAGACCTCTGCTTCTCATGTCCAGGAAGTGTGGACAGTCCTGGCGTGCCCACTCATTAGAGGGAGGCAGGAGCCTGGGCTGCGGTGTCAGGAGAGGGCACAGTGAGTGTCCCCAGGCTGCATTCTCGTCACTGCCCCTGGGGCTGCTCTGAAGGGTTAGCCCCCAGGCTGTGGAGGGCTCCTGAGAGTTGTCATGGACAGACCTGTGTGGACAGACAGGGCTCTGCCTATGTGTCTGTGCAGAATTTATTTTGATTTTTTTTTGTGTGTGTGTGTGTGTTTGGAGTTTTGCTTTTCTCTCTGCCTTGTTTATTTAAAGATGCTCTTGAAAAATTCCAGCCAGTCTTTGCAGATGCTTAAGAAAGTGCTTCTGTCTGCGCAGGGCTGGGTAGGGGTGGGAAGCCCATGACAGCCGCCTGTCCCAACATGCCCGCCCCATGCCCTGTGTGTCCACTAAAGGTGTTTGATTCATTCCAG